AATAAACAGGTTGTCCTAGAGCAAAGTAACAAAAGTAGAGTCTAGATTGCATCATCAGTGACCAAAACCCGTCAGTTTTACAGCCTGGCACTTCCAGGCTCATTTCTGCTGGCCATATGGTGTTTCTAGGTGCTGAGCCCCTTGTAGCATTTCTGGTTCCTTTGTTTATTCACTCACTACGTTAAGTTGCTTGCAGTAGTTTGTGCTTCAGAAACACTTGCTTTGAAAAGTTGCTAGGAAGTCCTGACAGTAAATCTAATCCAGGCTCGTTTCTCTCTCCTGCTGCTCCTAGGGCAGTTACAACAGGTCTCCTGAGCCTTGAGCTGGGCTGGTGCAGAGCAGCCACCCCTCGCTGTCAATGACGTTCCGTGAAGACATTTTGAGCCTCCGCACTTCCTGACATGGGCTTATTTTACATTACGTGCTCCGTGTCTTTCTCGGCCGCTCGCAGGTTTCACTGGAAACGGTGAGTCCCCCCAGCGCTGCTCAGTTCGTTGCCATACACAATTCTGGGAAAAAAATCTTGGGCCTCTTTCTTATAAGTGAGAACTTGAAAAACCAACGTGTTCTTTCTTCCCGCACAGCAAGCCGCGGTGATGCCCATCTGATGTGGTAGAGAAGAGAGAGAGAAGGAAGAAGACAAGGATGAGGTTGGAGCAGTCCTTGCCTCTCTTGGGACTCCTGCTGTGCATGGGTGAGTGGAGCTGGGCAGGAGCCCACGGGGACCAGAAGGGTGGATGTCCAGGGGCTGCAGAGGAGGAAGCATCAGGGTGTACAGCTGGATTTGCAAAGTACCCGCAGCCGCGTCTCCTGCGTCTGGCGTGTACAAGCGCCTGTGGAGCTGCTGCTCTCCAGAGTGAGCGTTCCCGTCAGAGTGCAGGGACAGAGAAATGAGACTCCACCTTCTCAGTCCAGAGAAAAGATCCTAAGGTCTCTAGGGAATTTTTCCTTCCTAGCTGATTTACTAAGGTGCCTGGTCTCCAGACTGCAGGCAGTGGGGTCACAGCGTGATGCGCTGCTCTCTGCAGCGGTGCTAACTATAAGGTTCTGTGTTTTTAATTTTATTTTTATGCTTTATTAATGCATTTTTCTTAAATCATCTTTGTGCTCACGGGCAAATAACTTCAGTTTAGATTCACTGTGATATCATGGGACTGATAGCAATTTCCACGTTACCAAAAAGCTGGTTTAGGAGGAAGTGCAGAGTAACTGTAAAGACTATAAAGAAGCTGGTAACTATGAGACGTAAGATAATTAAAAGATAATACAATAAGACTACAGCTACTCTGCCAATGTGCTGCAAACACCAACTGCTATTCTTTGAGAAGATTGAAAACATTTGGTTTAGCAACGGCCTGTTCTTTTTTTTCAAATTTAAATTCATCTTATATAAAGAAAAAAGCATCAGATCACCTGCTCTCCCACCAAGTCCTATGCCTGTGGAATTTCAAATCTACAGTTTTGTTACAAGTAACTCCTACCGTAAAGCAAGCATTACATGGCACAAGACAACAGCACTGAACACACCATTACAGGTCATTCCTTTATTTACTTATGCTACTTTTTATCAACAAATGTCTTTGAAGCAAATCACAAGTCTGATTCATTCCTCCTAAAAACTGTTTCTATAATACTCCAGCTCCAGAGACTTCAATGGAGCAACTTGTTTTCTACCAAGAGAGAAAAAGCACATAGATAAACTTCTTTATAGCATTAAATCAAGCATCAGGGTCCAATCTTCCAGTGAGTACACTCTTGCAGAGAACAGTAGTTCTTACTGCAGAAACCAGGCATGATTTTCCAGCAGTCTTTGCTCCTTGATAATAAATCAAAATTGTCAGGTGTACAGCTTGCAATAACCCTTTTTCTGAACCGAGTCGGAAAATTATTCAAATTTCCATTCTGCTTTAGTCTCTGTTAAAAATGGCTTCCAAAGGAAAAGACTTCATTTCAAAACAACATCCTGTCTCAGCTAACAGAATGCTGAGAATGCATTCAGCACAAACAGAGGAGTATAAACATCTCTTTCAAGCAGCCGAGTTCAGAAAGGGTAGGAAAGTTGAAGTAGGAAAGATGTATGATATCAGTAGCTAAATTACTTAACACTTACTATTCTTTCTTTTGTAGTTGGCACCGCAGCTCAGCAGGGTAAGTGTATTTTACCAGCATTCTTAACTATTCAGCACAATAAAAAGACCAACTAGGGCTCACAAGCGAGGTCTAAAAGTCAAATAGTAATATTTGAATTTTGCAGATATTGTAAGACAGGAAAAGTTCTCTCTTCACTACCTGTTACTGATCTCACTGATTTGAAAAATTGGCTGTTGTTAGTTGTCCCCAATTATTGCTAGTGATCCCCAAGCAGGGTTAGGCATTTTCCAATAGCAAAAATCAGTAAGATAATAGCAGGCTGGTCTGTTAACACTTACTGTTCTCTCCTTTGCAGAGGATCCAGAAGCACAGATGGGTAAGTGCATTTTACCAGCATTCTTAACTATTTAGCATTATATAAAGATTGCAGATGCCTCACAGGTGAGGCCTAACAGGCAAATAAGCTGTAATGAGTTGCCCCTAATTGCTGTTAGTGGTCTGCAAGCAGGGTTGGCCATTTGCAGAGACCAGCAAGCATACGGATAAAGAGAACGCTGAATGGCAGGTGGTCAGGCTCTCTGACATCAAGTTGAACACTCTGCGATGCTGTTTTGATACTGTTTAGTGTTGCAAAGAATCAGTGTAAAAAACTAAAGGAAAACATGTCTGCTGAAGACACATAGGCAGGGAGTTTGCATTAGACCATAAAATCAAAGATTTCGCAGCGCAAACTGTCGTGGGTGGGCAGGGAAGCTGCTCAGAAGCTGTTTGTAACTCTGGTTTCCCTTCTCCTTGGCCCACCTTCCAATAAAGAATTCCTGGTGGAGATTTCCAGCACCACGGTGACAATCACATGTCCCTTGACTGAAGGCAGCATAGCCTGGGAGTTAACTGGAAAAAAATCAGACAACAAGGAGAGGAAGTACGTTATAGAGAATCACAACAGCTCTCCTGTCAACGTCAGTTGTTCATCAGGCAGTGAGAAGTATGAAATGTACCTGAATGCCAGAGGTGAGTGAAAAAGCACTCGGTCTACAGGCTGAAGTCTGCCCATTTCAGTGACAGATATTAGGAGCTGAGACCCGATTTTCACTGCTGCTGGGCTGGGTGAATGCCATTCTGCTGAGGCTCTCCCCACCCTGTGTGGAGAGTAGAAATGTCCAAGAGCACGTTTTTGGCAAACAGAATCTCCCTGCTCTCTCCACCTTTCCCTTCTGCTGTCCTCAAGCTGGGTGCACATCAGTGGTTCCCACAGAGACAGTGCATGATCTATTTTTACACAGCTTCTGCCATGCTGACTGGCAAGAGTTGTCTGTCACAAAGGGCAGAGGCATTTCTTATCTTGCAGAGTGGAAAACTCCCATCTGGAGCACGCAGCCTGGTTTCCGTGACCCATCAACCAGGGGGAGTTTGCCTTCACCCCAACAGAGTGATTTCAGCCTCTGAGCCACTTGAAATGTGGGCAGCTGCTCTGCATCCAGGCCTTAGAGTCCAGTATAGGCAGGGAGAGGGGATAATGATCTAGGAGATGATTTGCACCCTCTGGATCAGGCCACGCAGACAGTAGAGGACAGCGAAGGAGGTTGTGTGTACCAGCCCCCCCAGTCTGTCTGCAGACTGAAATGGTGAGGCAGATAGAATGAATAGGTAGTGAATAGATGAATAGATGAATATGCAGATACACAGCCTGTGCTGTCCCTTTTCCCTTCTGTTTGCTCTTTCCTCCTTCCCACCCAGAAGTGTCTCTTTTCTGCTAGCACTAACCAGATGAGTGAGACCTGGACTTTTCTTGCTGGAAAGGAAGGGTGCCCGTCTCTGAGCACCTTCATCTCTCCTTCTGGCAGTGTGTGCAAACTGTGAGGAGCTGGACACCTTGGCAGTGACCGGGATCATCACTGCGGATCTTCTCATCACCTTTGGGGTGCTGATTCTGGTCTATTACTTCAGCAAAGACAGGAAGGGGAGAGCAAGCACTAGTGCTGGCAGTCGGCCACGAGGTAAGAACTATTTCAGGCATCTCTCTTTTCCACCATGTCTGCTAAGCACGAAATTAAGCACTTGCCCCTCCTGAGTGACAGAGCCTACTCTGTTCCCCCCAAGCCTTCCAGACCTTGCCAAACAATGCTCCTGCTTGCCACATCTGTTGCTCGGGGCTGCCTTTTTATATGGGATGGGTGCGGCTGCCGTGTGGTGTCAAAGGCTTCCTGCCTGTAGGCAGCCACTGCACGGGCTGTTGTGCAGCCCCGTTGAGTCTCTGCTGAAGCCAACTCTGTACGGTGGATGCTCAGCAAGTGTAGCTGCAAACCCAGGCTGGCCCTGGCCCACTCAGCTTCTGTCTCAGGCGATCAAAGACCAAGAATCAGTCCCACACAGAGAACATGTGATGAGAAATCCTGGTGTTATTTGAATTTCTGGCTTCTGGGGTAAAGTGATGCAGGGTGGTAAGCTCATGATGCTGGTTCAGATTTGTTCAAGAAGTGTTGGCTGTGACATTTGTAGCAGGAGACTGCCTGTCAGACAAGTACCTGGGGTGACCTCTCTGCTTCTGTTGCAGGTCAAAAGATGCAGCGTCCTCCTCCTGTTCCAAACCCAGACTACGAGGTACGAAGAACATTTCTTTCCATCTGTCTTTTCTGGTTGGGGAGGGATAGCCAGAGCTGAAAATCTATAGCCTTTAAATCCTTTTTGCTCCTTTGAAGAAGCATCCAGTCAACCTCCGAGCTTTCCTGGGAGCAGAGGGAAAAGGTGGTGAGGGTGGAGCCCCTTCTCCTGGGGCTGCCCCAGGGAGTCAGGAGCAGAACTGTTGCTCCTTGTGCACGCTGCCAGAGCAGCACTACACCTGCTCGCTCTGCTGGGGTTTTCTTCACGTATTGTGTGGACCAAGACTCTGGCACTGTTTCAGGGTGTATTCATAAGGATTCCCGAACTAACATCTCTGCTGTTCCCACAGCCCATCCGGAAAGGCCAGCGTGAAGTGTATGCAGGCTTGGAATCCAGGGGCTTCTGAAATTCCCACGGATGACAGGCTGGAAAGCAGCAGCAGAGGGGCTCAGTGCTTCTGCCCAGCTGGGCACCAGTAGTTCTCTGCAGTTTTAGGCAGCTGTGCAGGACAGGCAACCTGCTGCTGTCCACTGTCCCATCGGATGTCTTCCTTCAGCCTTTGATTTGACATCATGGAAAAGAAACAAACGAGCACAAGCGTGCTGGCAAGAGAAGGTTTCCTTCTCATTAAAGGACTGCAGCCTCACTCATAGTTCCTGGCCTCCTTTCTCCTCACACTTCTCTCTCTCTCTGCTCCAGATACGTGTTCTGGTTTTCCTTCCCATTTAATTTCTCTCCCAAGTGCCTCCGCTTGCTCCCCGTGGCTCCCTGGGTAGCTAATGGGCAATGAGTGGGTTCTTCTCAGAGTGACTGGCCCCTGACCTGGTCCTGCTCTCATGCTCATGGCCTACCTTAGTTTTGCTGCCCAGGATTGTAACAAAAGGAACAGAGGCAGTCAGTATGGTAAACACAAAATGGTACATTTTCATAGAAAAGCCACTGCTTTGAATGAAAATATTTCAGTGTAAAAGAACAGTTTTCCTTAACAAAATAAGAACCACTTCTGCCAGTACATGCAGACCAACCTGGCCATGCTCTAGCTCTTCTTCTGCAGGAAATGAGTGGGGCTGAGTACCACTTTCCATCCAGTGACCTTCATGTTTCAGACTTTTGGCAGAAGGTCTTCTTAGGGTCACATGGGGATTGGCACCTTCTCAAGCCATCTGAAAGCCTCCACAGCAATGGGGCAGGTAGTGACTTGAGAAGGGCCCAAGAGATGCTGTGATGCCTGGGAACATTTCTGGTCTAACACTGGCTGACTTTTAGCCACATTTCTGTTGCTCTGCAGGGCAACAGTTCTGGAGAAAGGAAACAGCAGCAGTGATGGGGGCTGGGGGTGGTTTAACCCTTGAGTTTCAGCCTGGGGAGATGAACACCCAGCAAGTTTCACGCTTCAGATTGCTGTGCTTACTCTGCAGGATGTGGTTTTAAAGGCAGCACAGCTGGCTTTACCATACAAGGTGCTAAACACCTAGAAGGGAGATGGCAAGATACAAAGAGCACTAACTCCTAGCAGCTCTAAAACCACTCTGGGCCATGTTCTCAACTTCTGCTCAGCCCAACCATACAGCCCATTGCCACGAATGGGATGTGAGAAGCTCAGACCACTGTGGGTGTACAAGGTCTACATTTTGCTTCAAGCTACACCCTGGTGCTTCTGCCACTGTTTACGGGGCTCCGTGTTTGCCCCAGCCAGTGCCATCCCACGCTCTCCTTATCACAGTGGCATCAGCACCCATGCAGCGACAACATCTCTCTGCCCCTGTGCTTACCCCCACTATAGAAATATCTCTTTGTCCTCCCAAGGTGCTGAGGAGCCTTCCACAAACAGACAAACTGTAAACGTTGCCCCTGCTGTCCCTTTGATTTGAGCAGAGCATACCCACCCGCTCTGCTTCGGGTTTCTCCTGCTCTTTTGGGTGTGGTTAGCCAGCTTTGCTCATTGCTTTGAGATCTGAGGGCAATGAGAGCCCTAGGAACTAGGCAGTCTGCTGGTCACCTTTTTTATAAAGTCCTACCCAGATGGCTTTGCAGACCAAAGGTGGGTACTGGCATACTCCACCTGCAACGGTCACATCAGGCTCACCCTTCACTGGAGCAGGTTAGAGCAGAAAAGCCACTAAGATGTTATTCTGCTCCCATGAAGAGCAAAATGCTGTTGCGTAAAGAGCTGACACCATCGGAAAACAGGTCCTTTTCTTGTTCACTGTCCACAGGGCTGATCACACGCCGATTCCTGTAAAGGCACGTGGGGTCACCCACAGCTTTGCACAGCCTGCGTGTTGTTTGCCGTGTGTGTCAGATGTGTCACAGATTTGTAGCCTGGTTTTATGGAGCGTTAACTCTTTTGGAGCTTACTTTATACCACTGAGTCACAACTCAATCCACAGCCTGGTGCTCTAACGCCCGTCACCCACGTCCTTAGAAAAGCAGGAAAACACAACCTACAGGTGTGTGCAACTGGCACACAGAGGGTGACCTGGTTTCTAACTGCTAGCTGAGCCTGTCTGTTCTCTGCCCCCCCTTTCCACTGTAGTCAGACCACATTAGCTTGTGGGACCGGCCAGGAGGAGCTGGGTTGGTGTGGGGAGACAGTGCTGCTCATGCTCCAGAGACATGGTTCAGATGGGAAAGTCTGTGAAAGTTCACTTGACTGCATCCTGTACTCAGCACCCTGGGATGGCTAGTGAGCCTGAAAGAAGGGTTGCCAATGCCTGGTCACAAAGGTGAGTGACTGTTTGCTGGGCTGCAGAGGCAGAGGAGGGTGGGCAAACCTCCCAAGAACATTGGAGGTGGGAGGAGCATGGACTGCCTCTGGCCTTTGCTGCCTGGCCAACTCTGCTGCCAGGCATTTTGCATGGTCTCTGCTATGGTTTTCATCTCCTCTGCTGCTTCCATTTCCTCTTTGGGCCCAGTCCCCATGAGCTCTTCTGGGGAGCCAAGAGAGCTTGCTCCTTTGCTCACGCCTCACTCCCCTAAGCACTGAGGCAACTTGCAGGATGGCTGGGTACCAGTCTGGAGACTGTGATTAGATACCAAGCCCTGCATGAGAAGATGAAACATCCTCCTGTTTCCTCTCCTGCCAGCTCCCCAGCTCTGTCCAGGGGATTGAGGCACACAGGCACTTTGCAGGGGACACAGAGATCCTGCTGAGTGTTGCTGCGCTCCTGGTGTCCCCGCTCCCACTTTGGAAGGAGAATTAAATGAAACAAAGCCTCTGCTAGTGTCAGCACCAGCAACTCTCCTCCTTCACAAGATTCTCCAGGTCCAGCAATGGGCCTGGATATCATTTGGATCCTGGCACAGAGAGGTGGCACAGCCATGGGCACCTGCCTACAGTGGCAGAGCAGTGTTCTACTGGGTCAGGCAGAAGCCTTACGGCTCTGCAGGGACCCAGGCAGGTTGCATCCAGCACGTACCTTCTCCAGCGACCACGCAGCTCCCCAGGCCTCAACACAACCAATGGAGCAGGGAAGCTATGGGATAGGCTCATCTTTAATGAGAGCAATACACAAGTACAAGAGGCAACGGGAAGAGCAGAGTGCTACAAGCAGCCCATCCTGGCTAGGAGCTGGAGGATTCTCTAGGCAAAAACCTACATTATCTTCTACCGCTGCTGGTGGCTTTGCTAGAATATCACTCCTGGTGTGAAGGAGCCACAGGTCCCAGCGTCTTCTCACTTCATTTGCGGGCTTTGGCAGGCGCCAGCCGGCTGTACTGTCCATCGTCCCGCTCGCCAAGGGGCTGGGAGAAAAAAAAGGCAAGATGAGCTGTTATTGTGTTTGTCCAGCTCCTGAGGGAGAGTACGGGGAAGCTGTCCCAGCCCTCCCTTTGCCAAGCTCTCCCTCCCCATACACAGAGCTTAACAACCCCAGAGAGTAAGAGGCAGAGGGCAGCCGAGCTTGCCCTGTCCTCTAGGTCTCTTAGGCAAAAGCAGCTATGAACACTCCAGCAGAGAGTCATCTCCAACGCAGCTCAGTGCCATCGAGTACCCCACAGCAGCTCTGCCATCGTGGCCACGCTGCTCCCACCCTGCAGACATGCTGAAGCCCACGCACACACACGTACCCACACTCACCTGGTAGAGCTGCTCGTTAGCAATCAGGTTCTGCCTGTCAGAAGCTAAATAAAGAAAGAAGGTGGTCAAGGATCAGGGAAGCCATGAGCAGTGTGGTGAACATTTGCAACCAGACCCAAGCAGGCGGCTGTTTTCAGCCCTGTGCTTTTGCCTCCTCTGGGAGGCTCAGTGGAAAGCCCCTGCAAGGCCTCAGATGTTCCTGTGCCACCAGCTGTTGTCTCTGGGATGATGTTTTGGTGAACGTCATGCATTTGATCGCTTCTCCTGGGAAGCTGAGATAGGGGCAGGAAGGGTATACAGAGTGCTGACATGGATCCCTGCCCCAGACACACCACGTGCTGGCTGCTGCCTGCAGCTTGCAGGGCTCTGTGGGCAGTGATGGAAAGTCCCCAGGTACCACATAGCTCCTAGAGATGCCCAAGCACTTCCCGTCCCCACCCGAGGGCAGTCGGTGGGGATCTCCCCTCACCTCGTGACAAGCGTCCCTTATCCTGGCCAGTGATACAGTACACAGCAATCGCCAGGAAGACAGTGGCCACAATGTCTGCGATCACGATCCCCGAGATGGTGGGAGCGTCCACTTCGATGCAGTTCTGGCACACTGGAAGCCCAAGAGGACACAAACACTGAAAGCAAAGCCACGACCAGGACCCTATCCCCTGGGCCAGTCTGAGCCCAAAGCGCTCAGAGAGCTCTGTCAGTCCAGGTCAGGGCAAGACAGAGACCAGGGATTCAGTTTGGCTCCCTGTGTGACCCAAGGCAGTGGCACAAGCTGCCACATGTCCCCAGCAGCCCCGGCACAGTGAGTGGCTAGAGGTAAGGCAGTATGAGTGCCAGGTTATGGCACTAAGTGAGGCTGTAGAGCTCTCCCAGGGACACCCGATGCAGGGGAACATGCAGCTTGGCTGTTCCCATGGGAAACTTAGCACAGGAGCTGTCAGGACTTCCACAAACTGGTGGAACCACCCTCAAACTCTGGGAAATCGGTAGGTGCCTCAAAAATTTGCTTGGGTGAAAACTCCAAGCAGTCCTGTCTCTAGAAAACAGGTTTGCAACACTTACTTACTTCGATAGTGCACCTGCAGGGACCTTCTCTTTTGGCTTTCTGTTTCACACGTATAGATACCCCTGGGATCATCATAAACCGCGCCCAAGTCCAGCTGTGTCGTGTTTCCTACCACATTCCCATCCTTCAGCCACGTGACTTGACGCTGGCTGTCAGTTACACATTGCAGGAACACCTTCCCGCTGGCTTCTTTCACGATTACTTTCTGCCCTGTAAAAAAATAAAGAGAGCAGAGAGTTTGACAGCTGAGTTCTCTGCCCTCACAGCTGTGCAGAGCTCAGAGATCTCATCCATGGAGATGGCTAGTGCAGGGAGCATCACGTTCAGCTGTCCCCTGAGCAGTGGAAAGGACACCACAAACAAAAAACTCTGCAAAAAGCACATTACCCAGCAGAAAAGTACTCCAGTGTTCAACTGGTGGTTACATTAATGCAGCTCTGGGTAGGTTAGAGATCCAAATTCCCTCAGAGTGAAAACTTAAGTGGAATTGGGCATCTACCCAGACTCTGTTCAGACTGTGTGACTATAACCCACACGCAGATCACACTGGTGTGATTGAAGTTCAATTGCAGCGAGAAACATTTCAACAGAAGTTGAAATGTTTCTGCCAGCAGGGACAGGAGCTGAGCCCAAATGGGGAGGCAAAAACCCTTTTGGGTTTGTACCCAACCGTAAAAAAAACAGTTTTAGTGAAAGGCATGCAAGAAAATGCCCAGAACTGCTTCCCTGGCCCAAAGGCATCACTTTCAGAGTCTGCAAACGGCGAGTAAATTCCCCGTCTTTTGCAGAGCACTGGAACAGAGTACAGAATACAGAATTCAGTGTACAGCCTCTCCTGCTTGAGCCAGGCACAAAGCCCATAGCTGCTTTAGTCTAACACCACGGTACTACCGAGTCCAACTGTACGTGCTCTGCCATTGCAAGCAGGTTTGAGCCATCACAGATGCTATGGAGTAACACACACGGCTCCAGGCTGTCACAGCAACACTCTAGGGCAGGCAGAGTCATCAGAGCGATCCCATCCTCAGGAACCATTGCACTGGTTTGCTCCTTGTTCCCCATCAACATTTACAAACCTCAGGTCAAGGTGCTGTGATGGGCAACTCCAGCAAGCCGTGGTGGTTTGCTTCCCAGCCACCCTCCCACCACTGCAGACACCCACGGTGCAAGCAATAGGGGTGGTGGCCTCCAGGGACCACGGACAGTGCCCAAGGGGCACCGCTGCTGACCCACTGCAGCATGTGGGATGAGCCCCAGCCTCGCTGTCTGCACGGGGTCCCTCAGGTGCACGACGCCGGGGGTCTCCACGCACCCTCGCTGTCTGCACAGGGGCCCTCAGGTGCACCACGCCGGGGGTCTCCATGCACCGCCTTGGTCTGCACAGCACTGCCCGTGTCAGCCACAGGGCTCAGCACCACAGAAGCCCACGGGTGACTTACCTCGGACACCCCAGCTGGCCACGGCCAGGCTGGCGAGGAGCACCCAGGCGCCCAGGGCCCTTCCCCTCTGCATGGCACGAAGCGGCGGCGGCTCTTTCACC